TTTACACTGTACTTCCGGTGGCCCAGTGTTGGCTACCAGGACAAACCGAAGATGACTTCGTTTGGGCGTTCAACACCCTTGTGGAATATATGGAAGAAGCCGGTGCTGTTCAACCTCGAGTGATTTTATCGGATCGTGATCTCGCTTCTTTGAATGCTTTACGTCGTGTGTTTCCAGCGGTGCCTACTATGATATGTAGATGGCACATGAATCGGAATGTGCTCAGCAAAACCCGCCAAGTTCTAGGTCAAATTGAAGTTGAGCAGGCAGCTCCTGGTCAAGATAAGTTCGTTAACACATGGGAGACAGACTCCTTTATGATGACCTACTATGAAGCTGTGAATTCTGAGACCGAAGCTGCGTTTGAGAAAGCCCGGGTTATTCTTAAAAAGAAAAGCGCAATTGTGTCTGCGTACCTTGATCAACATTGGTGGAAGTACAAGACAAAAATGGTTCGTTGTTGGACTAATCGGTACGCACACTTTGGGTATCAAGATACATCGACAGTTGAAGGCACCCACGCCAAGTGTAAACGCTGGTTGCAAACGTGCCGAGGTGATTTATACACAGTTTTTCATAAATTGTTACCATGGTGGATCTCCTCAACAAGGGCCTTAAGCCTATTGAGCGAGAGAAACGCGACGATAACGCCGCACAGGCTGCAGGACCACCGGTACGCTGCAGTTGTTCGCATTATCACTATTTGGGCTTTGAACGAAACTGAAAAGCTGTGGAGAGAAGCATCTACAATTGTCAACAGAAGACAAACTCGAACCTTGTGTACTGGTGCATTTCGAACTGTACACGGTAGGCCGTGTATACACGAACTGATGAAAATTATTGAATCAAATGGTGTTTTGCGGCTCAATCCCGATCATTTCGATCCACACTGGCGAATTAGAAGGTTTGATGAAACATCACTTACTCCTCGAATAGCAGAACCAGCAACGATTCAAACTTCTTCACGTCGTCGCCCTCGCAGGAGCCATCGTGCAAATCAGGGTGTATCCGGCACAGCTCGCGACCCCGTTCTCAGTGAACGAATCGATAGAAATCACCCAGCGACTCCACCACGGGCGTGGGGCCGAGACACTGATGCTGTGGACGGTAACACTGATCTGCCTTCGTTTAATTCAATTTTCTCCTTTTTCAACATTTACCAGGCACCAGCTTCGACATTAGATATTGATCAAGAGGCCCAGACATTCCGAGACGTGTTCACACCAGCACGGACATGGGGATATGCTGGACTACGGCCACTTCAGTAACGTTAGTTTAAACTATAATACAGTTAAGTTATATAATGCATGAAATTGGTGTAGATTTACCTCGTTCCACACGACACACTTGTATTGTACTTTTGCCACTGGGCACGTAACAATCTCTTCGTCCCTCAGCGGCTCGCCTTGTCGAGGACAAACTGTGAAACCTGAGCTATGCTATGACTGCACGTGTATACGATACAGCAATAACTTCAATCAAATCATACGTCTGAACATCTGCTACTGTGCGGATGTTCTCTTGCAGAGCCAAGAAAAAAAATGTGCTCGATAGTTTCTCCCCCCGATGCGCTCCATCGCCAACTGGCTGTACACTGAACACCACGAGGGATACCGTCCTGACATTAAGAACGTCCACTTCGTATGGTCTGTACGTGACCGGGAGCTCATCCAAGCGCTGGTTGAGGGTATGGAGCTGCAGCTCGAGGCTAACAACCACGAGTCCTACTTCCCAGCGCGTATTCAAGATGCAAACGAATCGACAAGCACGTTCTACAGTGAATTCTACCTCACGAAAGGTGAAAAGGACGTTGAGGCTCTGCTCGATCACCAGCTCAGCAACTGTCTTCGGTACGGCTCCCGTCCTGACACAGAGGAGCCATGGGTGAAAAGGCAAAGACAGCTGGCAACACACGAGTGGCTGTGCTAGTCTGTGGACCTAAGCCACTCGTGGATGGCGTCGTGACCACCAGCATGACGCTTTCGAAGGAGATGAACCTCCACTTTGACGTCCACACCGAGCTGTTCGACTTTTAGTGCAGCAGAGACGATGGTGGCAATTTTTCGTATAAGAGCCAAAAATTGATCATCATGATTTGTTAAAAGAATACTTGAAGTACTGTAGTGTTCATTTTCCTACTGGATCGAGTTGCACACACGAGCCACAACATACTATTACTAAAAAAGAGAAGGTGGCGGCGACATGGGTGCAAGTGGTTCAATCCACCTGAGATTTTCCATAGCATACAATCACCAAGCAAAAACTTTCAAATATTGTAAAAGGTACTTCAAATACGGTGAAGGGTGGAGCAACATTGAAGGCGCCGACTGGGAAACAGGATTATACAAACAATCCCAGCTGAAAGACGGCGCTGAGAGGCGGCAAAATTTTGTCAGACTCGAGATCTTTCTCCTCGAGATTCCAATGCATCCTTGCTTAAAAAACACAGCGAGCTATAATTCTCTCCACTATAGCTGGGTGAACAGGAAGAAAGCTCAAATTTGATTAAGTAATACGAAGATATATTATTTTTTCTTTCATTTTTTCTTTCTTTCTTTGGATATTCGGGAGATCCCGAGCAGCAATTCCAGTTGCAGTTTTCGAGGGCATCAAAGAGCCGTTCGAGAACTTGCGGGTAAGGACAAGTCGGTTAACCATGTCGAAGAACCAAGGCACGACCCCCACGAGAATGTAGGGCGCTCCATGCAGCGACGCAAACACGGTAGCCACGATGAAAAGGGTCCAGTGCGAGCGTAAGAAAAACTTGAAAAAGCGACGGTGGATCTTGTTCACAGATAGTACGCACAAGAAGCCCATGGCTCCGAACGAGACGTATCCAATCGACAGTTTGTAGGACAAATTAATTTTAATTGCAGGAGAATAAACAGTTTTTGATGACGTTTACAGC